ATCAGGCTCTCGTCAATTTTTGGGCATGTAGAGTTATTGGTAACATCTTGAAGCTTTTTCACCAGTCTTTATTTGGATGGGGAAAAATATCCATTTATTTTGAATACAACTCGAGATATTTGCGAAAGAAGGAGGTGGGGTTACTTGTTTTCAGAGGTAAAATTAATGAGAAAATGGCGGCCAAAGATTAGTTATTTCCTTTGCTTAAGAGTCCGTAGTAACTGAAAATTTACATTTTTTGTGCCTTTAATCAACGTTTTTCAAAAAAATCCACACAGACATGAGTTCTTTAATGGGTATGAAAGGTGTTGAGCCAAACAAAAATTTAATAAAAATTCACAAACATGGGGAAAAATGCAAGTTTCTTCACTTTGATAATTTTGACGAGAGCCTGATTCCACCACGCTGCCTCATATATTATGTGGCCGCTAGGTTCCTAAAGAGTTAACAAGAACGCCTTTTTTAAAGAGTAACCTGGGAGAAGGCAACTTTCCCAAGGTCACCGATAGGGTTTGGGGGTGGGTGGGAGAGGCGTACTGACAGCTGACTCAGTATATAAGGAGTTGGTCCAGTTAGCTTGAACAGTAAAAGAATGTGTTCCTTCGAAAACTTGTAACACTTGTAATGTATTTAAATACAAACCTCAGATTCATTTGGATTTTTTTTCCACAAAAGAAGCGTAATTGATCAGGCTATTGATTAAGAAAATGAAAAATTTTGGCTTCAAAAATGAAAAAAAGCCTTTGTCAGCTTAGGGCAATGATGTAGAAATAGTAATGAGTATATCACATTTTACTTTAAGGGCAAGAACACACGCACACACACACACACACACACACACACACACACACACACACACACACACACACACACACACACAAAACAACAACAACAAAACAAACAAACAAATAAACAAACAAAACCAAAACCAAAACCAAAAAAAAAATCAAAAACAATTTCAGAAAATTGCTCAAATTGTAGAGCTCTCTCAACGAAAACGTCCCCCAGAACAAAATATAGTGCCCACTGTGTCCTTCTAGCGGCTTCAGCTTATTCGCAACAGATTTTGAGACAAGCAAAATTACTTTACAACACTTTCAGCTGTGTTTTACTGAGGTCTGGAAAAAGCATAATTCCTCGACGCCTGAGTGCAATTGTTACAAATTATTGTTTTCTTGCAAGCAAAGTGCTGTACAATTTTTTTTTTTACTTTTCATCTAACTGTTTTCTTTACAGCCTACAATTGTATAAATAGAACCAAAACAGGGGCAACTTAGAAATACGGAGAAAATCATTTTCCTATTAACCTAAAACCGTTGGTACTGGTTCACTTATTGCACCCGACAGTTTCTGGTGTTTCTGCAGCCTGTGCGTACTATGTACGGCAGAACAGCGATCTTTTAGGACAGGAGAATAAAGGAAATGGACAAATCACTTTATCTATTCCCTTGAGACACGCCGCCTGTTGAAGAAGAATCTGTGACGCAGCGTGGTGAAATCAGGCCCCCGTCAAAATAATGAAATTGAAGAAAACAGCATTTTCCCGCTGGTTTTTGAAATTTTTCTTGGGTTTTTGTTTGATCTGGCTCAACACCTATGGGTTTTTACTGAAAATCGTTGATTAAAGACGCAAAAAATGTAAACTTTCAGTTTCCGAGTACTCCCAAGCTATGGGATTCACGAAACTTTGGCGGCCATTTTCTCGCTAATATTACCCCCTGAAACAGGATTACCCCCATCTCCTTCAATTGCGAATATCTCGGTTTTTATTCAAGATAGATGGGTATTTTTTTTCATCGAAAGCAAGAAAATGAACAAGCTTTAAGACGATATCAATAACTCCACATACCCTAAATTTGACGAGCGCCTGATTCCACCGAATCCCTAACTGATCAAAGCTTCCACAGAGAGGAGGACATCAGAATTA